CCGGCGTTCTACCAGCGAGGACAAAGATCGATTCGTTCCAAACCGGACCAAGACGTTCACATCTGCATTAATACTGATAATATGTGTTTTAACGTTGCATTGTGTTACAACTGTTTTGTTGTTGAACCAACCTATGTTGATGAGAAAATGTAACAACTGTGGTAACTTGTGAAATAGATGGCTAATATAACATTATTCACTATTGGCAATTGTCCCCAAAAAATAGCATAAAATTGCTTAAAAGGGAAACAAACAACAAATTCAGATATCCAAACAATCAAACCGCAATCGAAAATCTTGAAATAACTCAAACCCTCCAGAATTCTTTGTTTCAACCACTCTTTAAATAACTCAAAAAATTTCCAACATTTTAACTCAACCATTTTTCTTAATTCAACTTTAACTCTACACCATTATTATCAATATTATCAATATAATTAAATAATATCAATCAATCATTCATACACACCACATCAACCTTAATTCACTATTCATCCACTCACATATTTTTAACTAACCATCACATCAAATCTTCTCTCTCTTACTTTTACATCAATTTAATTTTAATTATTTTATTTTAAATACTATTTTAATATATCCACTAACAACTAACCATACCACATTTTCAAAATTAACCAAATCAAACAAAAAAATCCAAACAAATCCAAAAAATTTCATAAACAAACATGCTAATAGTCTCCATGTTTTCTTGAAAATATCACTAAAAATGGGATACTAAATTTAATACTTCACAATTTTTGAAAGTGATGGGTTCTTTGATGGTCCGATAAGTGTGAAATTGTAGGTAGATGAGTTCATCTTATGGCATTTATAAATCTACATTCAAATAACTTAACATCAGAAACTAGATATTTACCAATTAACAAAAGTAATAATAGTTTTTTTTTTGTTGACACAATATTCAAGAAGGTGTGTTAAAAACTTAAATATTAATAGTGAATTTCTATTTACCACCCCATTTTACTACTCACCGCCCTCCCCCCCTCCCCCCAATTACTTTTTGTCCTTCACTCTCTCTCTCTACTCTCTCTCTCTACTCTTTTCCTCTCGACTTTCTACGGCTCTTTTGACCGTAAAAAAGTTTCAAAAAAATGCCATGAAATCGGCAAAACATTGAAGATTGACCATGTATTTTTTTTATATATTTTTTTACTTTATAAATAATTTTTAAATTTTTATTTATTTATTATTATTTTTTTTTTTTTGCGCGTACGGCCGAAAGCAACCGGTCGCGTCCAACCGGATGGTCCGGATGCGCAAGGTTGCGTCCGGCCGGTTCGGCCGGATGCGCAAACATAAAAAATAACAATAAAAATTAAAAATTATTTATAAAGTAAAAAAATATAAAAAAAATACATGGTCAATCTTTAATGTCTTGCCAATGTCATGGTATTTTTTGGTATTTTTTTGAAATTTTTTTGACGGTCAAAAGAGCCGTAGAAAATCGAGAGGAAAAGAGTAGAGAGAGAATACTTAAGGACAAAAACGTCCAAAGAGGAGCGGTGACTAGTAATAAAGAGGACGATAAATAGTAATGCCCTATTAATATCCACTTAACAATCAACCCCAACCCCAACAAACAGTACCACAAAGGTATATTTAGAGTTCAACCTTAAAAGCAATTCCTTCTATTTTCTTATTAAAATTGTTGTTCTAATAATTTTTTTGGTCACTTAAAAATTGAATGAAAATTTAAAAATTGCAGTTTTTTCGGTGAATTTTCTGGTAACGCCTATCAAATATGGTTAATTTTTAAAACAATGATTGTTTTTTCGTCGGCACAAAAAAAGTATTACTTAAAGGCCTTGTTTGGCGATCAGCGGATAGCGGATAGCGGATAGCGGATTGTATTAGCGGATAGTGGATATCGGATTATATTAGCTGATTTGACTAGCGGATTGCATTAGCGGTTTTTAAATAAGTGTTTGGTAAATAGCTGAAAGCTTATAGCTGTTTGACATTGCAAATTACCAATAAAAACATTTTATTATTTATGGTGTATTCTTTTAATAATAATATATTAAAACATTTAATATTTTTTAGTTGGTAATTTATAAATATATATTTTTTTTAAAAAAAAAAATTACTAAAAATTGATTAAGAAGTTATGAATTTTACATTTTTCTAGATAAATTAATCATATAGATGACATATTATTATTTGTTAGCATCATAAACCAATGTAGATTGTAAAATAAATAATACAAATTAAAAAGTTTTAAATTAAAATTGTAGATTGTGAATCCTCTATCCCCAAAAAGCTCCTCTAATGAGCTTTTTCTAAATTAGAGTTTTGGGCCTAAAAAGCTTATCAAATAAGCTATTTACCAAACAAGCTTAATAGCGGATTTGACGGGTCAAACCTCTCAATTAAGTCCAATCCGCTAATTTATCCTCAATCCGCTATCTTCCAAACAGGGCCAAAGTGTTTCCAACCTTATACATACATTTGCACTACTCTGATGAGTACACATACATTTGTAAGCATTTCTATTGAAATTACTTCATATGAATCCATCATAAATATAGGAGTCCCACAACATATCAAATACTCCATCTATGTAATTATGTGTAAAATTTGAGCACTTGGTAACCCGCATAGTTAGGATCAATTTAATTCATAATTAAGCATACAATTTGAGTAATTGTATGTGTAAAGTAAGTCATGCACTCATTATTGTAACAAAAATAATTGGAAAAGAAAAAAAAAAAAATTGGCAAGCAATGCTCAAAAGATTGCAGTCAAAAATCAAATATAAGCCTGAGCTCTAATTTTTAAGAAATGGCAGCCGAGAGTCATTCTTCAAAATATTTACCAACTTGAATGCACAATGTCATATAGAGAATCTACAGATATTGGATCCATCACAGTAGCACTCAAAATCTCTTTTGTGCGCTTAACTTGTTTCTTCAACTTTTAATATACTTGATACCTGGAGTCTTACTCAAGCAAAATGACTGATTTAACGGTATATTGTCAACAGGATCGTCTCGCACAACTTCATTCCTAATTGAGCAGGCTACACAAAAACAAGAGCAATATTAAAAAAGAAAAAAAAAATGTGATCAAGAAACAAGCTGGAGATCATCAGGTGAAAGTGAACCCAAACTAAACCAATTCATACTATCGTCTTCGCTATCTATATCTACTTCATCTTCACTAAAATCATAAACCTTTGCCTCTATACGAAGCCATTTTTCAATCACAATGGAAGGCCAAAATGGCCGAGACCAGAAAGGGAAAGGAAAAAAAAAAACTAAGGACAAAAACAAAATTATAACAACTGCAGCATTAGCTCAGGCAATTCATCAAACACTGGCAAATCTCCAATACAAGACATCATTAGCTACCTCAGAAGCTTTCCTCTTCTTGCTTTCATGCTCCTAATAACACATAACTATTTCCAAAGCTTCACATAATTAAATCCTGAACCAAGACGAAAACAAAGCATTTAAGGACTATGTAATTTTACGAAATTGGTATCCCTATTTTTCTATTATTTGGTTTTACCTTTTTCTTTTGGTCAATGTTGGCATTAGATAATAACATATCGATCAAATACATACTTTTATAAACCCACATTGTAGTATTATGCTGCTTGTCGCTAATTACCAAACTATAAATCCATAAAAAATGTTGTTTAATAATTTGTGCAGGTACGGCTTACATATATCATGAGACACATATATTGTGCTGTATCGGCCTATGTCCCAAAAAGAAAACTATCCAAGAACATGGAAATGTAATAATTAGCCCATCTTGCAGGAATAATTGGTGAAAAACTCCCTAGTTCATAACACCGAAATTCACCAAACTAAAAAATGAGTTGAGCTGGGAATTGTTAAGCAACAACTAACAAAATATGAAAAATAAATTTCCATTTTCATTCTCAGCATTATCTTACATCAGCAATAAAAGTGTCAGATAAAAAAAATGATAAAAAAAAAAAAATTTAAAAAAAAACTAACACAACAAGCAGTAGAGCTTAGAGCTTACCTTGACAAAAGCGACAACGAAATTCAACTTAAACAGATGTCGATTTGGTGGTTGTTAGTGTGCTTGTAGAAGTACTTGAGCTGGTCGAGCGGGGTGACGGCGAAGATGGATAAATATCACGCACGGAGAGCCGAAGAGAAGATGAGGATTGGAGGTGTCGACGCCTGAAATCCATTGGAAATGAGAGGAGTTGATAAGGGTCTGGTGAAAATAAATAAGTGAAAAATGAAGGTTTAGGTAGGTGAGGGCTGATAAGGGTCTGGTGAAAGAAGTATCGGATGTTGGCCTCAACGCGATAAAAGCAGTCGGATGACAGACCACATTCGTAACTGCTCATTGAGTATTTGCATGTCAGTTTGCACCTGTCGCGATTGAATTTAACAGGTTAGATGTTTTCTTGGCAGCAGGGGAAGAACTAAAAGTAAGGAAACGACCATTTCACATGATAGAATTTGAAACTTAGTGAAGCACGCCATGTTGGGACCTTCGACTCAAACCGTTCTTCATCTTCTTGGACCCCACTCATTGCGTTGCTTGTCCTACAATAAACCAAAATACCAGATAAAGAAAAAAAATGGTTTGATAAGCATTCACGCCAAGAAGTTCCAGAACAATCCATGTGAAACTTTTAAATCGCAGACGGTAAAAATGGTCTGAAACTATCCACATGCCCCTGATCAGATCAGACTCCTCATGACCGTTAAAGGTTTCTGCATAATTTCAAGAAGCAAGCCACAAGGTAAAAAACCATAATATAAGTTTATTTTTTCTAATCAATATTAAAATTTTCATAAATCTTAGGGCAAGAGGTGACAAATCAAACCTTGTGGCAAATTTTCATCTCGCATTGTGTCTGAAATTTCTCTTTGGCCCACGCAATCGCCTCATCTACACCGTTTGATTCATATGTACCACCGCCTCTGTTGTCGGAGTTGGTCTCGATAACAATTCATCATCTTCATACTCCTCAAAGCCAAAAATCCATCCTTCATTTTTAGCTCCTCATCTGAAGATTGGCATTTTTAGCTCCTCATCTGAAGATTGGCTGTGGCTTACCGAACAAACTGTCGATGATAGTGAGTTGAGTTCCAAATCATCTGGAAAGCTATAGTATGATACGGGATGAAGGCTGGTCATCTTTGGAGACGTGTTTCGTCAGCTAAAACCGAAAGTGTAGCCTTATAAGTTGTCGGTGTCATAAACTGGTCGAGCGGCTGCAAATGCGGCATCATAGGCTGTTGTTTTTCAGTTCATATTTATTTACCATTATTCTTGAAGTCCACCTAGACCTCACACATTTATTGGCCTGTTAAAAACAATGCACCAAAAAATTAGATATCATCATTATAAAAACAGCGAGATGACTACCAGAGGCAGAGAAATGAGAGACAAAATCGAATACTTGAGTAACTTGTGTTTATTTTCTATTTGGGTTATTGGGTGTTTTCTAAAACTTGAGATATTGCTCCCTTAGAACCCAGTTAACATCTTAATGCATATACCTATTTTTTTATGTCCATTGCAAATGGAGTTGGAAGAGTCATTGTTGACAATTCTTCTGGCATAGTGTTAATAATGGATGAGATCAAAATGGCTCAATTAAATTCTAGTGTTTCTTCTATTAGTGAAGTCTCTAGAAAAAAAAAAAATATATACCAAACGACGCAATGCACCTTGGGTCGCTACGGAAACAACCTCCTTGTATAATTACAAGGGTAAGGTCTGCGTACAACTGACCCTCAGACCCCAACCCGTTTGGGAATATACTGGGTATGTTGTTGTTGTTGTTGTTGTCCTGGAAGGTTAACAACAACATGTTCGGAAAGAGCTTCAAAAACGCAGGCCACAGAAATTACATGAATGGAATTGCACAGTTACAAATTCATAGATTTTGTATGAATCTCACTAAGTGAAAACAGCCTGGACTACATTTCACAGAAAATCACAGAAACTGCATATACATAAACACATAAAAGCAACGGAAAATACACACACACACATACAAAAAGTGATGGAAGAAGAAAGAAGTTCAATGGCCTTCCAAAATATGTAGCTTAACTTCACTTTCAATAAAAAAGACATCCTAATATCTGATTTCAATGTTATTCACCATCTTTATCAATTAAGTATTAAATAACAGAATTAATATCGAGTCATCAAATACGTGGTAAAATTAAAGAATTCAATTCATGAAGGTTAATCACAAGTTTAAAATGGTATAGAACAAACCTCAGGGGGCATCTTGGATGCAGTGACTTTTATTTGTAATAAACAAAATATTGCATATTTATCAGTCCATTGTTTCACTCAATTCATCAATAAGTACCAATTAGCATACCCACTGATTAAAGGAAATACACGGAAAAAACAAACAAATGAACAAGCAGCTAAGAAGGGTATCTGATGAGGATGAGCTTGCGTTAGCCTTCTTGGACAGATACGACCGTTTACCGGCTTTAAAATAATTTCTTACGTGTCTATTTATTTTTTTAGTTATCTTAATTAGTTGAGGATATTTATTTAAATGTTTGGTAGGTTAAGGAGTCTCACAGTAGCTTCTTTATTATCTGTCATTTGGGTTGGATCGTGCAGAGTATGATGAAATAAAATTTATAAGATTGAAATTCAGTCTTATTTTCCCTTCTT